GTAGTGGTTAAGTGCGCAGACTCTAATCTGGGAAAACCAGGTTTGATTCCACACTCCTCCACTTGTACCTGGCTGGATGACCTTGGGCAAGCCGTAGTTCTGATAAGAGCTGTTCTTGAAAAACAGCAGTTTCTGTCAAGAGCTCTCTCATCCCCACCTACCTCACAGGGTGTCTGTTGTGGGGAGGGGAAGGGAAACGAGTTTGTAAGCCACTCTGAGACACCTTTGGGTAGTGAAGGGCAGGGTATAAATCCAATCTGTTCTTCTTCTCTGGAGTTGCGCTGCAGTGGTGGTGCGATCTTTCTATTGTATTCTATGGGGCCATAGAATACAATGGAGAGAGTGGTGTGACTCTAGAGAGAAGGAGCTTGGGGGCAGGGCTTGCTGCCACCACCATTTGTGCCTGCTCCTGGGCTGCCAGAGCGGTGCTCCAGTGCGCTCCGGTCCCAAAGGACCCCTGGATCTATCTTTTGTCAGCCTATAATGAAGAATGGTTTGAGGGGGAAAAATCTTTTTTTATGCATTCAGATACTTGATACCTTGGTTTTCTTCCCTATGGGAGCTCCTGTCCTGAGCTTCTTGAGCGAACAGTAGAATAAAAATATGATAAGTCAGTAGGTTCTATGGAGGTGCTGAGAAAGGGGAAAAAAGTGGAAACTCCAGTGTCGTGACTCAGTCTTCAATTTCAGGCAGGCCAGGAACACTGAGGGGAAACCAAATGCATGTTGTTTGGGGCCACTGTTTTGCCAAAGCTTTCTTTCCCCAGAAAAGTAAGACAAGGTGCACCCCTCTTTCTTTTGTGACCATTCTGGTTGAACACTGTGTGAAACAGGATACTGGATTAGATGGACCACTGAAGGTCCCTTTCTCATTTTGTCTGGCCTGTCTTAAAATGTTTGAATCCAGCCTTCCTGGAAAATGGTTTCCTGTCTATGTCCCACAGACCACAAAGGCCTTCCTGCCGCGGATGCTGGAGCTACAGAATGGGCATATTGTGTGTCTGAACTCTGTCCTGGCTTTATCAGCCATTCCGGGGGCCATTGATTATTGCACTTCCAAAGCCTCTTCCTTCGCCTTTATGGAGAGCTTGACCCTGGGGCTGCTGGACTGCCCGGGGGTGAATGCCACCACCGTCTTGCCCTTCCACACAAGCACCGAAATGTTTCAGGGCATGAGAATCAGGTAAGTGTGATGCAGGCGGGGGCTGGTAGATGGTTGAACTAACTCATTTCTTGAACATGAGACCCATAGAGAGTCTTGGCTGTTGATGAGATTCTTCAGTAGAGGCCCCTTTCTCTGAATGCCTCCACTTTCTGCAGCGAGCTGGACCTTTTCTGTGATGGCACCTCACCCGCTTTTTTTAAAAAACGCCATTCAGTTGATGCTTCTTTTATTTATGAAACGTCTCGCCTGAATCTTTGTTAGACTTTGCACTGCTTTTATGCTGCAAATATTATTGTTGGATCTGATTGCAGCTGCTTGCCAGCTTGCAATATTATGGAGCAGAGGTACAAAAATACATCAGATAAACTAAGTATATCCATCTGACTCTCAGCTGTACCCAGTTTGGTGTAGAGCCAGTTTGGTGTAGTGGTTAAGTGTGCGAACTCTAATCTGGGAGAACCAGGTTTGATTCCCCACTCCTCCACTTGCAGCTGCTGATGTGACCTTGGGTCAGTCACAAGCTCTGGCACAGCTGTCCTTGAAAAAGAGCAGTTTGTGTCAGAGTTCTCTCAGCCCCACCCACCTCACAGGGTATCTGTTGTGGGGAGGGGAAGGGAAAGGAGTTTGCAAGCTGCTCCAAGTGAAGCTCCAAGTGAAGGGCGGGGTATAAATCCAATCTCTTCTCTTCTCTTCTTCTTCTACTACTACCCTTTGAAGCTGATGGAGAGCCCTGGATTTTCCAAGCTTTCATCTCCCCCTTTTTTTCAGACAAGGAAACTTGGCTCTTTTCCGATTGCCCTTATCCTTTGTGGCTCACAACAGCCCTGTGAGGATGAGGTACACAACAGCCCTGTGAGGTGGAGGTAGATCAACTGACCCAGTCAGCTTCAGAGGGGAGTGAGATTTTGAATCCTGAAGCAACACCTTAAAACCGAGCCAGTATAAATACAGGAAAAAAGCCAGTGGTGTAAGAAAGAGAATATCAGTTGGACAACTGTAGGCAAAAGGGGGGGAAATGTATTCCAGTTCCCATGCGTTTCTTGGACTCCAAGACTAGCTGGATGAGGAAAGTACAAGAGACAATAATCTTATTTGATCCACTGATGAAGCGGACATAGAATGTGTAGGGACTGGAAAAACGGAAAAATAATCGTGTTTGAAGGATGCGTGCTGCAGCACACTCTTGGGCAGGGGATATGAAGCAACTGGTCTGTTACTGCTTTCAGGTTCCCCAACCTTTTCCCCCCACTAAAGCCAGAGGTGGTGGCCCGAAGGACAGTGGAAGCCGTTCAGCAGAATCAAGCCTTCCTCCTCCTTCCATGGACAATGCATATCCTCATCATCTTGAAAAGGTACTGCTTGCTAATCCACACTCGGGTCCTAAAATAATAAGAAGAACATGGCTGGGTTAGGTTCTTCTCAGGCACCATCTAGCTCGGCATCCTTATTTATTTATTTATTTGCAACATTGCCCAACCAGATGTCTCCAGGAAATTCATAAGCACTGAGATCATGAGAACATAAGAGAAGCCATGTTGGATCAGGCCAATGGCCCATCCAGTCCAACACTCTCTGTCCCATAGTGGCCAAAGCCCCAGGTGCCATTAGGAGGTCCACCAGTGGGGCCAGAACTCCAGAAGCCCTCCTACTGTTGCCCCCCAAGCACCAAGAATACAGAGCATCACTGCCCCCGGCAGAGTGTTCCATCTATACCTTGTGGCTAATAGCCACTGATGGACCTCTGTTCCATATGTTTATCCAGTCCCCTCCAATACTCCCTCTAAGCTGTGGAGTCTTGTGAGCAAAAATTCTATTTTGTAAGCTACTGGCATTAAAGTTGTGAACAAGCGATTTGGCTACTGCATGAACTAGTTTGCTCTCAAGCCATCCTTTCTGAGCGAAGACAAAAATCTGTGAGCCAGAGGCTAAAAAACTGTCAGCTATCTCACAGTAACTCAGCTTAGAGGGAACACTGGTCCCTTCTTGAAGCTGCCTATGCTTGTAGCCGCCACCACTTCCTGTGGCAGTGAATTCCATGTGTTAATTACTCTTTGGGTGAAGTACTTCCTTTTATGTGTTCTACGCTTACTGCTCATTAATTTCATTCTACGCTAAACAGAAATCCTCCTTGGCCGTTAGCGCCCATGTCTCCACATCTCCGATAGCCCCTCAGACAGGTTCCTCCCACGCATGCGTCGCTAACACATCCCTTCTTTGTCTTTCCTGTGAAACATGATCGGCATGTTCTGTTCCTTTCCCCCCTGCAGCCTCCTCCCGCAAGCGGCACTCGAAGAGATCCACAAGTTCTCCGGGAGCTACACCTGCATGAACACTTTCAAAGGGCGCACATAGGGGTTGCACCGTGCTCAGGCGCAAAGCCAGAAGAGGCTGTGACCTGACACAATTTTTGGCCAGCCAGCCCTGTTCTCGTTTGCCACGGTGGCACCTTCAGCGCTCCGTCAATGAGGCCTCTGTGAAAGATGGACCCAACTCCTTGGGGACCTGGAAGTGAACAACGGGGAGGGGGACGTGGGGTCAGTTCTTTAGAAACCTGATTGTGCCATTTGTTCATAGGTTATTTTTTCCTTTTAAAGAGTTTCAGGGTCTAGCTGAATCCTTCCACGCCGAACACATCCCACTGCGCTTCCCATGGACATAAGGGTTTCTCTCGCCCTCTCTGATCCGTAAAGCTGGTCAGATGATTCTTGAAAGCATCTCTTGCTCTTTGCCACTGCATTCGGAGTCTAAGACAGCAGCCGGTTTATTTTGGCTCCGGCCCACTGTCGAAAGGGTACGGAACATTCCTTTGTCAGGGGCGGCCGGTCGGCCAGGCCCGCGAGAACAAGGACAAACAACTCGAGCGGCTTTTGTTGAAGGGGTTCCTCCGACGGCTTCCTAGAGAAGGGCCATGTTTGATGCATGAGGTTTAGAAAGGGGTGAAAGAGAATGTTTTCTCCCTCTCTGGTAATATGCGAACTGGCAGGTGATGGACAGGAGATCCCAGACAGACAACGGGAATTCGCTCTTAACTCCACGCAAAGTTAGCGTACGGAGTTCACTGGTACAAGATCTGCAAGGGCCACTCGTTTTGTTGGCATTGAAAAGAGGATTAGTCAGATCCCTGGAGGGAAAGTACATTGGTCGGTATGAGGCACCATGGATGGATCCTCCATGTTCTGAGGTAGCGTACCTCCAGGTACCAATGCAGGGGGTGGTAAACAATGGGGATTTTAGCTTCCCCTTGTAGGCCTCCCAGAAGAATCTGGTTGACTACTTTGTGACACTCATTGCTAGATGGACAGTTGGTCTGATCCAGCAACGGGATAAGGCATCACCGTCTGTGATATTGTGACATCGTTTTAACTGTACACCACCTCGAGGCGGGCTCTGAAGAGGTGGCATAGAAATGTCTTAAATAAACACATGAATTTATTCACCACAGAGGGGAGTTCAGCTCTGTGCTTGAAAAACTCTGAAATATCCTCGCGGGGTTTTAACTTCAGTCCCGCCTCCGTCTGGGAAATGGACTCGTATACATCAACCCTGAGGACTACTAACCTTGACAGAGAAGAATGGAACCTCCATGTTCTGGGGCAGTATACCGTGGGATAATGGGTATAAAGAGAATGGGGAAGCTGTCATCTTGAAGATATGCTTGCCAGCACTGAGAGGGGTCTTTGTCCCGGTCCATCATGGTTGCTGTTCTGGTCTTCTGGCTTTGAACAGTGCAGAAGCAAAACATAATATTACCCAGAAGTTCTTGAGGCATGGAGTTGAACTTCTCTCTATGGTGGATATAGGATGAGGCCTTACACCCTTTGTCATCGTTGTGCCAATGTTCCGGCGGCAGGGGCACCCATCACACAGCGTCCCCCTTTTTGCCCACCCTTGTGAGCACTTTATTTACTCTTCTTTACACGCACAGCTTACAAGTGTTGTCTCTTTGAGTCTGCAGTCTGTTCCCCATCTCCTGGCCCCAACTCACCCGGGGAGCAGTTCTGCCTGCTTTTTACTTTCAAAAGACAAATTAATAAACACCAGGTATAACTGCATACTATGGCTGTCATCCACCATTCAAACAATGCTAAAGATAGTTTTATAATATTCTCTATTGTTTCCTATATCAAAATTTCCATAAGTAATTCAATACATAAGTTATGCAGGTAATTTACAAGAAATAATAACTAGTGTCACTGAAATAGCTTGCAGCCACAAAAGCCTCAATGTTTAAATGATACTTTTAAAAAAGCGTATTCAAGTGCTAAAAGACGCACAGTCCATGTAGATTCTCAACTGGAGGAAAATCACTCACTCTCAGAGAATCCAGCAGGAGCTAACTGGGCGCTGTGCCTCTGGATTTACACCGCATTTCAGCAGTTCTTCCTCAAAGCTGCAACGGAAGTATCTCTGAAAATAATTTGGAACCCGTGTCTAAAAACGCCATTTTTCAAAGGAGTTTTTATTCTTGAAATAATGGCATCCAGCGAACTCCTTTAAAAATGGTCTTCTTAGAATTTAGTCCTTGAATGCTCTTTTTTTTAAAAAATACTATTTAAACATTGAGCCTTTTGTGGCTGCAAGCCGTTTCAGTGAAACGGCTCATTATTTCTTGTAAATTGCCTGCATATCTTATGTATGGGGTTACTTATCACAACAATTTATGGGAATCTTGATACATAAAAACAATAGAGACTATTATAACATTATTTCTAGAATTGTTTGAATAGTGGATGACGTTCATGAGTATTTTGAGACATCCTGACACCGAGGGTCCCCCCCGTTTTGTTCCTGGTTTCCACTTTCTTCTGCCTGGTCCTCTTGGTCTCCAGGCCCAGAGCCTCACCCTTCCCCGGGGACCAGTCTCTGCTCCTCTGAGCCAGCTTCCTGCAAGTAAACCTTCCCTTGGCAGCCTTTCAGCCGCATTGGCAGTGCAGGGCCCACAAGCAGCTCTCATGGCCCTCCTCCCTCATGCCTCTGATCTACCTGTCGCAGTTTCATACTCATCGTGGCTTTCCGGGTTCTCGAGCAGAGAAAAGTCTTTCCTGATGCTTGAGAGTCTTCTAACCGGAGATGGCCGGGACTGAACTTGTGGCCTTCTGCATGCAAAACGGGTGCTCCGCCACTGAGCTGTGGGACGAAGAAGCTCCCCTGTACCGAGCTAGCTCAATCCAGCTGGCTTGATCTTGTCTCCTGTGACAGACAAGCATTCTCCAGGACCCCAGGCACACAAAAGACCTGTTACCTGCAGCTCTGTAACTGGAGGTGCCGGAGATCGATCCTGGGACCTTGTGGATGCGAAACGGGCATGCTGCTGTTGACCTGTGGTCCTATGTGAACAGGCACATTGTAGTATGAACGAGAAGAGGCCATACACGAGAGAAGTTCACATGAATAAGCAGATTAGGAAGAAGATAAGTACTCCTCTTTAACGAGGAGGAGTCAGTCTTTCTGCTCCTACCTCATTTTAGCTCTTCTGAAAGAGAGAAAGAGCAAAACAACCCTGAACAGCCATCAAAGCATATTAAGGGTCTGCCAAACTGTGGTGGCTCAAGTGGTTAAGACGCTGAACTGCAGGCTGTGAAAGGTCGGTAGTTCAGCAGTTCGAGACCCGAGTGTGCCGCATGACAGAGTGAGCTCCCGTCTCTTGTTCCAGCTCCTGCCGACCTAGCAGTTCGAAAGCAAGACATTGCAAGTAGATAAATAGGTACCACTTCGGTGGGAAGGTAACAGCGTTCAGTGCGCCTTGGTGTTTAGTCATGCCGGCCACATGACCACGGAAACGTCTTTGGACAGCGCTGGCTCTTTGGCTTGGAAACGGAGATGAGCACCGCAAGCCTAGAGTCGGACTCGACTGGCTTTCGAGCAAGGGAACCTTTACCTTTACCTTTTTAACTGCTTTAGGGGTGTCCGTATGGATGTGGCCCATTTCCATCCTAAACGATTTCAGAAGACAAAATGAATCAAGGATCTTTGGTGGGGGAGGGAAGCTGAAGGGTCCAGCAACAAGGAAGCGGAAGAATCCAGCAACAAGGAAACTGCATTTAGGATATGATTGGCTTTTAGAGAATCCATTGTGTGTGTAATTTTACCCTTAGTAACCATCCAAGGACCAATTTGGTGTCCAGCAAGGGGGCCGGAGTTCAGTGTCCATCTTGGGTGTGATCGCAGCTGGCGCGATCAGGCCAGAGTGTCATCTGCTGTCCTGACCAGTGCAAGGAACATAGCCACAGTCACAGCCCTGGTTCCTTGTGATGCTGGGCACTTGCGTTGTCTCGTCTTGGCCGGGTGGCCACAGGGCCAGGGCAGTTTCTCGCAGGATGGGTTGTCCCCACTCGCCACACTGGTCAAGCTTTGCTCTACGCTGGCTGCAGGACCATGGATAGCTCCGAGGGGGCTGCTCTGTTCCGGTGGCTCCTAGAGACAGACCCAGCTCCTAAACACCAGAACCCGCTCCTTAGAATCCAGCCAGGCCCCGCCCTCCTGGAGCAATGAGTGCTTCTTAACGGGCCCTGGCTTGTATTTGGAGCCTGGGACGCTGGTGGCACTCCGGTACCTCCTGTCCAGTGTTCCCTCTAAGCTGGGTCAGTGTGAGCTAGCTCACAGTTTTTAGGCTCCAGCTCACACATTTTTGTCTTCGCTCAGAAAGGATGGCTCCAGAGCAAACTAATTGATGCGGCAGCCAAATCGCTCGCTCACAACTTTTAATGCCCATGAGCTCACAAAGTAGGATTTTTGCTCACGGGACTCCACGGCTTCGAGGAAGGCATTGGTCCTGTTAGGTCCTTTGGTGAGCAATGGTAACCTCGCATGCTGTCGTGAGGTCAGGTCTTCAGTGGGCTCTGGTTGTGTACTGGGGGCTGGACTACTGGCACCAGAGTTCCGTTCCAGAGGGACTATTGGGATAACTGCCTTCAAGTCACAGCCTACGTACGGCGGCCCCAGAGGGTTTTCAAGGCAAGAGACAGAACAGACGGCCCTTGCCTGCCTCTGTGTGGCAATGCTGGACTTCCTTGGACTTCCTTGGGGGCCTCCTGTCCAAGTACTCACCAGGGCTGTTCCTGCTTAGCTTCTGGAGATCTCACGAGGGCTAGCCTGGTCTAAGGACAGAAGGACCTGAAGAAGACTGATGAAAAGGAGTCCCTGTCCTTGGACTAGAGATGTGAAGGCCCAGAAAAAACCTGGAAAAATTCAGGGGGGGAAATGGTTTTTTTCCATTTTTTTCCTGAAGCCTTTTTGTTTTTTTTCCAAAAAATTGGAAAAATTGAAAAAAGAAAAGAAATTGATTATGGAATGTTTTATTTTAACATGATTAATAAAATATTTTAAGACAAGGTGTTCAAATATTTTTCAAATCATTTCTAATATATATATATATATGGTAACAGATTCTGTGCACTGAGGACAAGCAAGTCCTAGGTTACAAACTGAACTCTCCAGTCATATTTTATGTTCCTAAAGTTCCTTAAAAAGATGACTTTCAATCTAGAAAAGACAAAAGAAATGCTAATGTAGCATTTTTTCAATTTTTCCGAAAATTTCCGTTATGTCCCCCCCCAAAAAACGGGTTTTTTTCCGAGCTTCAAAATTTCTGGAAATTTTACATCTCTACCTTTGACGGAGTCCCGTCCTTGTTACTGGAGATCCTTTCAGTGAAGGACCTGAGTCTGAGACCTCTTGCGAAACAAGAAAGGAGCAGATGTTGGGCATGCATTAGAGAGCCCCCAACGGCTCCCTGACACGGTTCAGGGCATTCTTTTCATTCCAAATTGTAAGTGTAGCAAGCAACCCACTGGTGATGTATAAAATGCCGAGTCACTCAAAAGTAGCTTGGTTGGTACTTGGATGGGAGACCACCAAGGAAGACGGTGGTCTGCTGTGCAGAGGAAGGCCATGGCAAACAAACTCTGAACGGTTCTTGCCTCGAAAACCCCATTTCCATTAGTGGGTTGCAACTCCAAAGCACACTTTACCTTTCTAACTCAGACGTCTGGCCCCGTCCGGCCACCACAGGACCAGATACGCTGGCCTAACTGGAAAATAAAAGAGTCCAGTAGCACTTTAAAGACTCTCATGAGTCTTTACGGTGCTCCTGGACTCTTGCTCGTTTCTTCTGCCACAGACAGACTAACACGTCCACCCTTCCCGAGTTGTCTGCTGGCACACCTGTGATCCTGTGCTACGGATCTGTGAGCATGGCAGTGGAATCCACAGGCCCTCTGCCTCAGTCGCCCGTCTGTACATAAATGTCTATGTGCACCGTGGAAGATCAAGGTATTGGTGTTGGAACTTGGAGGCTCCCTGAGGCCATCCTCGTGCGAGTGAACAAAGTAAACCATGAACATTGAATAAAATAATTAAATGTTATGAAATAAAGGAGATCGTGTTAAAATGGAGGCGTGATACTACATACTGGTAGTGGCTGCATCAATGAATGCATATCAAGGAGCCCGTCTGTGGGTTGATTACTTGGGAATCTTGTTCTGTGCGTATTCTGGGAAATGGGGGGTAGTGAGGATGGTTCTTCCATAAGAAGCCGGGTGGGGTTACTGGAGAATACTGCCCGGACCTGGATGGCCCAGGCTAGTGCAATCGTATCAGATCTTGGACGCTAAGCAGGGTCAGTCCTGGTTGGTACTTGGATGGGAGGCCCCCAAAGAAGTCCAGGGTTGCTGCACAGAGGCAGGCAGTGACCAACCACTTCTCACTTCTTACAGAGCCAGTTTGGTGTAGTGGTTAAGTGAGCAGACTCTAATCTGGGAGAACCAGGTTTGATTCCCTCACTCCTCCACATGCAGCTGCTGGGTGACCCAGGGTCAGTCATAAGTTCTTTCCGAGCTGTTCTCTCAAGAGCAGTTCTCTCACTCAGCCCCACCCAGGGCTATTTTTGGGCAAGAACGCACGGGAACGGAGTTCCGGCTGGCTCCCGAGTTGGCCACGCCCAGCAGGAACTCATTAGCATAATAGGCCACGCCCAACATCAGAAACTCATTAGGATTGGCTACATTAGGGTTGTGTGGCCTAACATGCAAAGGAATTCCTGCTACAAAAAAAGGCCCTGGGTTTTGACAACAAACAAGGTAAACAGAATAAGAAGCAAAAGGTGGGTGTGGCTGGATGACCACACTTCTGGTAGCATGGGGGGTGCGGCCTAGTATGCTAATGAGCTGTGTTGTC